GGTGAATGAGGCAAGGTGAGCTGGGCCCCATCTCCCTCTTCCTCTGCCACAGTGGGTGGTTGGGACTGGAGCTGGGGGCCAAACCCGTTCCTTGGCCCTTCGAGCACTGGAGCCAGGACCCAAACCTGTTCCCTGGCCCTTCGAGCATCGGAGCCAGGGGCTAAACCTGCTCCCTGGCCCTTCAAGGGGTGGCCCTGCCTGTGGTGGGGTTGTCACTTGCCCTTGGCTGCCGCTGCCCTGGCCCAGACATGGTGGGGAGGCCGAATCCCTGCTGCAGGTCCCCAGTGAGGATCAATGTGGCAGCAGAGGGGCTAGGATGCCCCACCAGAGCCCCATGGTTCCTGCCCTGGGTGTCTCCCCCTGCTCTGCTTCAGCTTCTCTGGCCTGCAGCCGGGTCCAGACCCCAGAGCCACACAGGACACCTCTGTCCATCTCTCCCACAGACAACTTGTGTGCTGAGTGACCGAACCAGTTCTGCAGCTGCCTCGGGGTTAGTTCCATGTGGGTCATGTTTGCTTTCTCAATTCTAAACGCCACAAGAAATGGCATCGAAGAAACAACCGCTGCTTCCACCCCTGCCCGTGAGGTCTGCTGGCTCCTTTCCCCCCAGGCATTGCGAAAACTAGGCACTGTGTTACCTTTTTCCAGGTCTCTGGTAGCTCCTCCATCTTCCATGAATCCTTGGGAATGCTTTTTGCAACCAAGCCCCCTCTTTTCCCTCTGGACCCCAAAACCCCCCTGCTCCCCTCCAGCAGCCCCGGGAAGCTGGAGTGCGTGGTGCTGGTCACGCACGCTTGTGTCTTTGCCCTCCTGCCTGGTGAGTCTTGGAAGTGTTGCACATTCAGCTGTTGCTTATCAGAAAAAGGCACTGAGGGCCCTTTTGCAGAGAAAAAAGGAATAAAAACCCGACAAACCCAGGGTTATCGCACTGCCTCGGCAGGTTTCGGACCAGCGGGGATCGTTGATAATAGATTGTATTGATCCAAGCCGGGAAGGGATCGCGTCTTATCAGTGCCGCACGTACCGGCAGCTGGAAAATGCCCTGTAAGTGCCAGTTTGGGCTCTAATCTGTCAAATAGCTCTGGTGGAGCAGAGTCCAGGCCATCGCATGCTAATTACTGGAGCACATCTGATGCTCGACCAAACGGCCTTTTAATTGAGCCTCCTGGGTTGATAATGTGCCCCGGGCAGTGTGTAACCCACCTTCCCCCCCCCCCTCAAACACAACGCTGCTGCTCACCAGGAGGAAGAGGCTGCACATCAAAGCATTCGGCTGTCCTATTAACCCCCCTTAACTCAGTGGTTTTTGTAGTTATTTAATAAACGATAAGGCCGAAGCAGATGCAGTTGTTTTCGAGAGACTTTGAATTGTCTCCTGAGCTCCCCTTGGGGAACTCTGCACCACCGGCTCGGTGTGGGTGCTGCGGGCGGAGGAGAGAGGGAGGGGAGCTGGCAGGGAAGGGTGGGGACACCTCTTATATAGAGAGAGGAACGCTGACCGGGCTGTCTGCTCTCAGAAACCGCAGAGAGAGAGAGAGAGAGAAGCGGCAACACCATGCCCAAGAAATACACCCTCAAGCAGAGCTCACCCAGCTGCGAATTGGGTAAGTACCGCCAACGCCAATGCTGGTGAGCTCACCATCCATATGGGGTGGTCTTGCTGATGGGAGGCATCACCCTCATCCCAAAATACCCTGGGATTTGGGGAATAATGTAAATTTTCCAGCTTCAGCCCAAAAGCTGTTGGTAAACCACCTCCTGCAAGGTTTCTTACACCTGTAGGTGCTTTCGGTGAGGTCAGGCGGCGTGCCGGCACAGTGTGGGTGCCCTGCTCGCATTCCTATGTGAGAGCAATTCTGCAGTTCGGTTTTAATTTCCCTCTCCAATGCCCACGCTGTCAGGTCAGAGGTAAGGTTAAATCCACAACAGCGGAGTCTCTCATCTGTTGGATTTCTCCTCTTATTTTTCCAGGATTTGGTCATTTCAGCAACATCCTATGATTATTTTTTTTGTGTTTAAACAATAAGAAATCTGGGTTGCAAAACCTCCACGCTTGGGAAAAGCCAGGAGCTGCTCTCCCCGCTGCCCGCAGCTTTGCTCGGCGAAGGGCTCTGATTTTTAATAAGCGGCTTCTCCAGTGCGTATCGGGGTGTCCCGCTCCATTAGCCTGGATCCTCACACACCCTCCCGTCTGTTCACGGTCAGGCCGTGCTTCCAAGTGAGCGCTCTCGGCGATCTACCAAGAAATTAAAAGGTGGGGATGGTGGAGATAAGAACACAGAGCGCTCATGTGCCGCTGGAAGTGATGCTGTGGTGCTCCTGCCGTGCGCTGCTTCCCAGGCTAGCAGGTATTCCTGGGAGTATCACCAATTAAATCTGTTGTTTTAGTTCTCAGGAAGGGGTTGCTTAATCCTGAATTTTCAAGGGAGTGTGCAGAGTAAGAGGAATTCCGTGGAAGAGCAGCGTTTCTCTCTGGGGAAAAAAAAAAAAAAAGACAAAAGCAAACAAAAGCCAAATCAAGACTCTTCTCCCCCAAAATACAGAGTATTCTTTGTGAGATACAGCTGCATTCAGGAATAATTAACACATAACTGTGTCTGCGGCCGTTTGCAGGCAGCCAGAAGTCTAGCAAACTGGGGTTTTGGCATGAAAAGCGCTCCTGAGGTCGGTGGGGTCGTGGCGGAGCTGGCTGGCTCCTGACGGATCCGCGTTTTTTGGGGCGGAATAAGCCGCTGTGGGGGGAAAAAAAAACCTCGGAGCAGGAACAGGGCCTGGCCTGGGCTGGGGCTGGAGGAGGGGACCGCTTATGGTCGAGGTGTCCCCCCACACTGGAGCCTCCAGCGGG